CGAGCTCATATTTTCAGATATTTTGAGCAAAACATAGACACATCTTCCAACGAAAGAACGCACCTTCTAAGTAATCTAATTGCTGAGAAAACTTAAGAAAACTGTGGACAAAACGTCATCGCGTTACGCTCGGACAAGCCGCTATTTACTGACGTCGAGCAATGTATTGAATACCTGAAACGTATCGACGGTCAAAAATTTTTTTTAATTATATCTGGGTCGCTTGTACAAAAGACGGTACCACTTATGCACAATATGACTCAACTTGATACGATCTTAGTTTTCTGTATAAACAAAGTTCTACACAAAGTATGGGCGAAAGATTGGTCAAAAGCGAGAGGCGTTCATCGCACAATAAAGTCCATATGTAAACGATTAGCAAAGTCTACACAAGCATGCGATCATGATTCGATCCCGATGAGCTTCGTTCCGCAGCTATGCACGTCAGATACAGCGTCCCATGAGAAAAATCTTGGTCAATTACCACCAGCGTACATGTACTCGGGGATTTTCAAGGATATTATATTGGAAATTGATGACGATAACGCTAAATCGATGAACACCTTAGTGAAATTTCGCCGAGAACAAAATATTTCTGAAACTGAAATAAGTGAATTTAAGCGTGAATACCACGACAGGTCGCCAGTCTATTGGTATACGAAACAAATGTTTCTGTATGGTATGCTTAATCGTGCCTTCCGAACGCTCGACATGGAGTGGATGACAAAATTAGGCTTTTTTATTCGAAATCTGCATATTCGCCTGGGAGAATTGCACCAGGACCAGCTGGTGGATTTTCAGACAGTGCTTACCGTTTATCATGGCCAGGGAATGAGCAAAGAAGACTTTCAAAATCTACTTGATTCAAAAGGTGGGCTCTTTTCATTCAACAATTTTTTATCGACTAGTAAGAAACAAAAACTGGCCGCATCCTTTGTTCAAGACGCCCTACAGAGAAATTCAGATATTGTGGGTGTTATGTTTATTATGACAATAGATCCAAGTAAAATATCAACTCCAATCACATCACTTGCAATGATTGATAAACACAGTGCTATCCCACAAGAACAAGAAATATTATTTCCGATGCACACTGTTTTTCGTGTTGGTGAAATTAAACAGACGCCTCAGAATAGTCGTCTTTGGGAAGTACACTTGGCTATTACTGACGAGAGGGATCCACAACTGGCTGGTCTTACTGATCACATCAAACAGGAGGTTCGAGGTTCGACTGGATGGCATCGAATGGGCCAATTAATGCCCAAAGTGGGTCATTTCGATCAAGCAGAGGAACTCTACAATGAATTACTTGGGAATGCTTCTACTGCCAGAGATAAGGCATTTATATATCACATACTTGGATGGTTGAAAGGCAACCAAGGTAAATATCCAGAAGCAGTTACTTTCTACAAAAAATCACTCGAAATCTACCGGAAAACGCTTCCAGAAGATGATGCTTCATTACCACCTACTTATAGTAACATTGGTGGAGTGTATAACAACCTGGGTGAATACTCGAAAGCACTGGAATATTACGAAAAATCGCTGAAAATAAGAGAAAAAGCTCTGCCTCCGAATCATCCCGACTTGGCTACTTCGCACAACAACATCAGTGCAGTGTATAACAACCTGGGTGAATACTCGAAAGCACTGGAATATTTCGAAAAATCGCTCCAAATAACGGAAAA